ACCCCCACCCCCATGATACAGTCATGGACAATAACCAGCAGGCCAGACCCTCCAACAACTAGCGGTCTTGAACTGTCGATACATAAAAATGATAGGCTCTTGCCTTTCGGGAAAACAGAGTAAGCCAAGTTAGCTCCAGCAGCACGCCACAGTCAAGTACGCCAAACGACGACCATTTTTAGAGACAATTCAAACGTATCCAATGTCTTTCCGACTTTGCAGAATCGGCACAGCGCCGACAACCACTGCGACCAGATTTCCTGTTGGCGGCTCTGGTTTGAGACGGCGTCATTAGAATCTGATCTTTTTAATCCCACAAGACTTGCGGCAATTGTATTTCGGGGTTAGAGTCAAATTCGATCTTTTATTTTATTTACCTCAGGCCAACAGTTGTCGAATGTTTTTTGGGGGGGGTCCAATGATAATATCTGTTGGGACTCCCAAACACACAACTAGTTACACATCGCCACCCCCTTCAGTAGACATGATGCCAGACTCAGACACGTCTGAATGTGACCAGTGCACCTACGCTGGGCCTGTTGCTCTCATATTATCTTGTAAAAGGTTAAAGGTTACTGAAGTTGACTGGACCTCATTCACAGCTGTATAGACTGACCTGTTCAAAGTTCAGACCAGGCCCAATGGTACATATCTGACTAGATGAACACATATTATATATGTACCCTCTCCACTACTAAAACAACAACAAAATCCCCCCCCCCCAAAAAAAAACAAAAAAAAAAAAATTTTTTTAAAAATAAAAAAATAATAATAATAATAATAAATACAAATAAAATAGAATAAAATAAATAAATAAATAGATAAAACATAATATATTAACAACAAAAAATAAAATAAAATAAAATAAATAAATAAATAGATAAAATATAATATAATAAAACAAAAAAGCAGAAAAAGATCACGCTTGTCTATAATTACTCTTTCCTTTTTCATTTCTGACTTATCAGCACCATGACAAACGAAATATCGCCAGATAAAGAGTGAGTAATGCGTGCAAAAACATTGTTATCGAACAAACAAAATGCAATTGCTGGGGATATAAAAACAGATTAAGACACATTAGAACGAGAGACAGAGATTAGGGAGACCCCAAGAGAGAAAAAGTAGAGGGAGAGAGGGGAGGGGTGAACCAAATGAGAGATAAGAGAACACTGAGAAAGAAATAAAAACTCCTACTTGATTGTCAAATCATACATTTTTGCAAATAAAAAACCCTTACAGCGAGGCCAAACATAAAGAAGCAAGAGAAAATATATTCCATATAGAATACTGAAAAATAAAGTTTTAAAGATTAATAGAAAATGAGGGTATGTCCAACTTTGTAATAAAAACAACAACAACATAAATGTCTGAATGTGATTTTCTCTGTGACCAGTGCACCTACGCTGGGCCTGTTGCTCTTATATTATCTTGTAAAAGGTTAAAGGTTACTGAAGTTGACTGGACCTCATTCACAGCTGTATAGACTGACCTGTTCAAAGTTCAGTCCAGGCCCGATGGTACATACCTGACTAGATGAACACATATTATATATGTACCGTTGGCATCTCTTCGGGGGGGGGGGGGGGGGATTCAGGGGGGATACCTCACCCGCTACCCAAGGGAGGCGGTGGCCCTGGCGAAGAGCACGCTCTTCGGGGCTCCAAACATTTCGAACGGATAGGCTACCACACACACACACAACAACATAACCAGTGACATACAAACCGTGTCGCCGGTCACTCCATCAAACATATTAAGTAGGCGTACCTCAAACGGCTGTTGACCCTTCTTGGTATTTTTGGCTTTGTTCTTGCCACTGAGTTCATCTTTGCTGACCAGTCTGACAAGGCGGCCGCCCAGTGAGCCGATGGTTTGGTTGGGCTTATAAGCCATGGGTTTGCCAGTGTCTTCTGACACGAGCTGTAGGGCCAGGCCGGACGGACTCAGCTTGCTCTTGCCCGCGAGGCAGACCAGAAGGTCCAACATTGGGGTGCTGGAATAACGGGGTGCGTAGGAGGAGGAGGAGGAGGAGGAGGAAGAGGAGGAGGGGACGCAGGAGGAAGAGAAAAAGAGGAGGAGGAGGAGGAGGAGGAAGAAGAGGAGGAGGAGGAGGAG